AACCTCTACCTCCTGGATGCAAGCGATTCTCCTGCCTCAGCCTCCCGAGTAGCTAGGATTACAGGCACCTGCCACCATGCCTGGTTAATTTCTGTAATTTTAGTAGAGATGGGGTTTCACCATATTGGCCAGGCTGGTCCCAAACTCCTGACCTCAGGTGATCCACCCGCCTCGGCTTCCGAAAGTGCTGGGATGACAGGCGTGAGCCACTGCACCTGGTCACATGTCTGTTTTCCTGCAGATTGTGAGCCCTGGGTGGTTTAAGGGCAGGAAATGCATCTCCCTGGTGCTACACACTGGCTTGACTACACAGTAGGTGATTAACAGTTCACTGAAGAGACGAATTGAAATGAAGGACATTCGTGTCAAAATATTCTCTTTGTTTTTGTTTTTAGAGACAGAGTCTCACTCTGTCACGCAGGCTGGAGTGCAGTGGTGTGATCTTGGCTCACTGCAACCTCTGCCTCCCAGGTTCTAGCAATTCTCCTGCCTCAGCTTCCTGAGGAGTTGGGGATTACAGGTGTGCGCCACCACATATGGCTCCTTTTTGTTTTTTTTGTTTTTTTTTTCAGTAGAGACAGGGTTTCACCATGTTAGCCAGGCTAGCCTTGAACTCCTGACCTCAAGTGATCCATCCACCTTGGCCTCCCAAAGTGCTGGGATTACAGACCTGAGTCACCATGCCTGGCCTGTGTAAAAATAATCTGATCTAAGAGAAAAGGATGACTAATCTTGTGACTGATAACTTGAAATCTTATCTTTTTTCTTTATAATTTAGATTAGAATTTTAATTAATCTGTGACATATTCATTAATCACAACAATTTTAGGAATTCTTTATAATTTTTACAAATTTTATTGGCTTTCCGTTTGTTGCCAAATTAATTCGACCATCAAGAAGCAAATAGCAGGTTTCATGCTAGTATGGGTCAAAAGCTTTGTTCTTTCTGATTGTGATGCCTGCAGCCCAATATGGGAGATGAGGTGGGAAGATGTGAAGAGCTCAATGTAGTTGTGGTCCATCTGCAGGGACTGGAGAACTCCTGTAGGAAAATCTTACCTGAAGTCCTTGTCTCAGTGAGGCTAGGCCAGGCCATGAAGAGAACTAGGGACCACCCCATTCTCACTGTTGTCCTATATGCCATCTGAATTAAACACACACTCTCCATTCAAGGAAAAGCAAAAAAAAGTGACAAAGGGCTCATGCATTTAATTCCAACTACAAGCTATGGGGTTTCCTTGCCCTCTTCCTTGCTGATTGTCTTTCTGCTGCCCAGTGGGTCTAACAGTAGCCACTGCTCAAAGGCATTCTAATGGCAGTGCCCTAAAACCAACATCCTTGAACCTCTCATAGAAAACAAGAAGTGATCTGAGAATTATTTATATATGGCTTCCTCATAGAGACTAACAACACATTTTAAGCATTTATAAATAGAGATACTAGGAATTTTAAAAAATTAGATTGCTAAACAAAAATAGATTTCATAACAATAAAGGTAAAATATAATTATTAAAGAGCATACCGCAGTACCCTGGGGTTCCACATACTGTCTTCATGAGCACTTGATGTTCCACAATTTTAGAGAGTCCAAAATCAGCTAACAACACAAGAAAAAAACTTAATGAAGCACGTCTTCTCAGCTTTTATAAGATGACAAAATATTTGTTATTCAAAAATAAAACTAACTTATTTATCTGTTTTCTTTTGTATTTGATGATGGGGTCAAGGTGGGTGGGAACAAGTCACCCAAGAGGAAGCTAAAAAAACAATCCATGTGTTTCTTTAAATTGGAGAAAAATATGACTTCCAAATACATTTACAAATAAATCTATATTTAATCTTTGTTCTTCTGTACAATTCCCAGCTTTCAACAAATAAGCATTTTTTTTCTTTCTTTCTTGTTTTGTTTGTCTGTTTTTTAGATGGAGTCTTGCTCTGTTGCCCAGGCTGGAGTGCAGTGGCGTGATCTTGGCTTACTGCAACCTCCGCCTCCTGGGTTTAAGCAATTCTTTGCCTCAGCCTCCCGAGTAGCTGGGATTACAGGCACGTGCCACCAGGCCTGGCTAATTTTTTTGTATTTTCAGTAGAGATGGAGTTTCACTGTGTTAGCCAGGATGGTCTCGATCTCCTGACCTCGTGATCCGCCCACCTCGGTCCTAAAGTGCTGGGATTACAGGTGTGAGACCCCGCTCCCAGCCAAGCTATTTTTTCTTAAAGTAATAGTTGCAATAGTTATATTTTATCTAATGTTGTTCATTCTGAAATTTATGTAACAGTAACTCTAAGGGACAATACAGAATTAATGATATAATCCAGAATCTTTTATTTATTGACAGAGAGGAGGAAAAAATAGACTTTCATCAGTGAAACAAGAATTAACAGAAATATCAAAAGGTTTGTTCAGCTTGAAAATACATGTCAGTCTCCAATGTATTTCACTTATAAGAATTTACTCTCATAAGAAGACTATACAATTTTTTTGGTAAGAATCCTTTTTATTTATTTCTCAGAATATTACCTAGGTAAAAGATTATCAAAAGTTGCTACCATTATGATCTATTTGCTGAGCTATCTCTCTCTCACTCAAGAAACATCAGGAAACCATTCAAGGGCATTCTTCAAGACAGGCAGGTGCAGAATGAATTCCATTTTAGACTTCAAAGATAAACCCACATTTCCTGGCAGGTGCCTGATCCTTATCAGTGAAAGCAGCAGGAAGCCCTTCAGAAAGAAAACCTCTCCTGCCTAAATTAGTATCTAACCATCCATTTAAAGAAATTGCTTTAAGGATTAAATCTTTGAAAGTGATGTGAAAGGAAATGGAAACTGCCTGCTGTCCCCTGCCTTACAGGAGTGATTATGAGAACAAGCTGGCTGCCCAGCAGGACTTTCAGGATTTTTTCCTTAGGTTCTTGCATTCATAAAGCACATTATGTTATCTGAGCTCTTCTCTGATATAAACAACTTAATTGTTAAAGGTGTTAACATCTGTAAATGCAGTGAACTTGGCAGATCAGCACGATAAGGACAGCACCAGAAGAGCAATGCCCTTCAGAGGATTTAATGAAGATTCCACTAGCGAGAATTCACTGAAAATAAAGTTTATAATATTTTTTGAAATGAAGATTTACTTTGGAAGAGACATGGAAAGTAATATTTATTTTTTTCTAAAGTGCTAATTAAAGGCTTCTTTGGGTAGATCAGAATTTCCCAAAGTTCATCTTTATAGTTTTTCAAAATGCTTATTGGTTAAAAAAAAAAGTCTCATAGGATATGATATAATATGTCATTTTATATGTTAACAGTTTTAAGGTTCTGGAAAGTCCTATAGAAATAAAAATCTTGTTTAACTTTTTTAAAGTTGGCATTTCTTAACTCATTTGATCAGCCATAGCATTTCTGTGAATCGCTCCCACCCTTATCCACCCTGCTGAGAATCCAGTGTTCTGTGGAGTGCATTTTGAGAAAGGCAGATCTTAATTTATCTCTGTTCATATAAACAAGTGACTCAAAGCCTAGACTTACTAATATGTGCTAAACATTTTATGTCAAAGTTCTTTATTACCTAAAATTAAGCTCCAAGCAATGTGTGGAATAAAAGTTAATATCTCCAAAAGAAGTGTTACTTTTTCCATCATTTTGTTCACTATAAACTTATTTACAAAATGCAAGGTCATCTCCTATGGTCCTTGCCATTTCTATGTTGTGATTCCTTCATGTGCCCAGCAACAGAATACTAACTTCTAGGCAATATTTTCCAAATAAACATTCCAGGAAAGAGCACAAACTTCCCAAACAACATATTATTCCTTTACAAATGTCAAATATTCAGGAAAACTGAATGGATGTAAAACTGGATGGAGCAATGTTTAAAAATTCCACATAGTATAATTTTTCTAATCTGGAAAAAGGGGTCACAAAAAAAAGAAATGTTCTCACCGATTTTGAGTGGTGCATCTGGGGCTGGAGTTGCATAGAGAAGATTCTCTGGTTTGAGATCACGATGGACAATTCCATTTTCATGTAGATACTAAAGAGGGAAAATAATGAAGTAACATTTGTGTAATTCTATTTACGGTTTGACTGTCTATACTTAATCTTTTAAGAACTATAAGTTATGTGATTCAAGAACACATATGACTTAATGATAAATACCATAAATCTGCTTTAAACTGTATACATTAAATAATACTTTACAAATAGTTACCTAAATGTAATGCAATTTAAATTGTATAGAATCTATTCCCAGAAGGAAATATTTACTCCTCAGCTAATATTACAGTTCTCTTTATGCATATTACTATATCAAATGGAATTAGCTAATTATTATAATGATGTAAAGGTGCTGTGTATTGAAATTTGTCTGGCTTATTAACTAACAAGCATAATTGGATGTGTGATCTTATAAACTCATATAGCAAAGACTTCATAATTATTGTCTGAACAGACATTTATATGTGAGTAGTTATAGAGAACTATCCTTAATAAGATAAATACCGTTTGATAATGATGGATGCACTCATAGGCTCTCCTGAGAATTAGTAAGTCTGACTGTCAATATAGATGTTGAAAGTTGTATTTGAGATGAATCTTAAAGATCACATCTAGCAACTCTGCTCATTTTATTGTATTTTAAATTATTTTGTAAAATCATGTATAAGCATACATGCAACATATTCTCACTGCAAATGCTGAAGTCGTACCTGATTTCCCTTCCCCCAGTTCCAGTTCCAGTCCCCACTTTAAAAGTAATCCCTCATCAGTTTGAAACACTTTTTTCCAAAAAGTTTGTTTGAACACTTTTTCTATGCATTTACAAATGAGTCCATATACACCGGGCTAGATTCACTAATGCTTAGAAAATACATTCTCATATAGCAAAGACTTCATAATTATTGTCTGAACAGACATTTAGAAAATGTCTGAAAACATTCCTAGAAAATACATTCTAGGCATTAGTGAATCTAGGTTCAGAGTCACTTGTTTATATGAACAGATTTCTTTACAGATGTCAAATATTCAGGACATCTGCGTATTACATTGGCTTATGCCTGTAATACCAGCACTTCGGTGGACCAAGGTGGAAGGATCATTTGAGTCCAGGAATTCGAGACCAGTCTGGGCAACATAACAAGAGCCCACCTCTATGAAAAATTTTAAAAAGCCAGGGATGGTGGTGCATGCCTTGTAGTTCTAGCTACTCTGGAGGCTGAGGTGGGAGGATCATTTGAGCCCAGGAGGTTAAGGCTTCAGTGAGCCATGATCAGGCCACTGCACTCCAGCTTGGGTGATAGAGCAACAACCTGTCTCAAAAGAAAACAAAAACAAAAAACCAAACCAAAACAAAAGACTATATATGTATATACACAAGGTAATATCCCTGGTTTCCTCCATTTTCCTACTTAAATATATCATTAATACAATTTTTAGGTGGCTTTTTTTTCTGTTTAACAAAATATCTTTGAAGGCTTACCTTCATATTACTTTAGTGTATTCTATTTAATTCTTGCATCTTGTATCATAATTAATTTACTTATTCATTTTTAATGGACAGTCAAGTTGTTTTCAATTTTTTAAAAGTTACAAGTAATATAATATAAACATTCCAGCACTTGAATATTTGAGTGTTTCTGCTGGTATTTTTCTAGGACAGATAACTGGAAGCAGGTCCAGTTGTGGAGTCAAGGCATACAGCATTTTTATTTTAATATGCACTTCAAAATCACTCTCCTAAAAGCCTCCATCAATTTTCACTCACACAAACAACGTATGCATATATGTTAATATCTTTGCTAAATCTGTATTTTTAACTTTTGCTGAGCTGGAGTGCAAAGATTGTGCCTTAAGTTTGGTTTAATTTGTCTTTCTCTGTTCACTAGCATAGTCGAGCTTCTCTTCATATGCTTCTTGGTCAATCAGTTTTCCTCTTCCATGAATTTCCTGTTCTTAACATTTGCCCATGTTTCTGTTGGTTTAAGAGAAAAAGTTTCCAGTGTGCTATACTCTCTCTCCTTTCCTACCTCGTGCGGGAAGGCAAAGAGTCCTTTATACTTAAGCCAAGTAAGAGGGGTTGTGGAGGTACAGCTTCAAGATCACTTAGTGATTTGGGGAAACAGGTAACTGGCTCATGCATGAAAATGGAAAGAAGAGTGGACAGTTGTAGCAGGAGAATGCAGAGAGGGCCTCAGGGAGATTCAGCTACTCTTAAATAATAGCTGGATGTACATTTCTCATGAGCCTGGTGTGGACTCTGCAAGAGCGAATTAGACGTGAGTCTCCATGAAAAAACTCTTCATAGGAGCATTTCCTGCCAGGGGATGCCACCTTAGCATCACAGAAAGCAGAGTGTGAGGGTTGTGACAGTGGCACCTGAGGCTCTTACATGTTCTAAACACTTACTGTATTCTAATCTATTTTAAATATCTTATACCTGTTGACTCATTTTATCTTCACAACAGCTCTAACCAGTAAGTCATCTCATATTTGTTTTCCAAATGAGGAAACTGAGGCACATAGAGGCTAAGAAATCTGTACAGTATCACAACTAGACACTAGCGCTGGGATTCAGACTCAGGCATTTGGCTGTAGAGCACATACGCTTTCCTATTATATAATTCCCGAGGAGATGCTCAATGAACATTTGTTACTTGCTTGATTAAGGTGAGGGGAAAAAAGGAAAATAACAACGAAGGAAAAGAGGGGAGGTTACTGGAAAGGAAAGGTAATGAAGGTAGGAAGAGAAATGAGAGAATGATAGAGGAGCATGCTCGACCATGAATGATACCCAGGGAAAACATGCAGTATCCCCAAGAAGGAAGATACTGTATCTTGATATAAGCTGAGTTTGAAGGGGAAGATAGATATAATATCTCATATAGTAGCTTTGGAACAATCTTAGAATTGCAAAGTTTGGGACCAATAGAACATATTGATTCCCCACCCCCCCCAATCTTACCCAATTTAGAAACTCCATTGTGTTGAGAAGAAAATGACGCTAAACATAGGAACGCAGTAACAATGACAAATGAAGTTACCTGGTAAGTTTTGTTTAGCAAAGAATTAATTATATGAAGATCCTCACTAAATGTTGTTCTGGCTTTCGTGAAAAGAAAAGGTGGTTGTGTTCTAAGTGCAAGTTAAACAACAACAACAACAACAAAATCAACAAAAAAGAAAACATCATTTGGCACTTCATAAAGGAGAACTAGACTGGATAAAAGAAGGAAAGTTTAGAGAAAAATACTAGAACGAGGAGCTATACACTATTAAAGGAACAAGCTTTAAAACAAAACAAAGCAATTAAATGCTAACGGTTATTATCTTGGCTTTTAAAAAGACATGCAGAGATAATTTGCTAAACATTACTTGTTGTAGAAAGATTATCAAAGTCATGATATATTCATATATATATAGTATATATATAGTAGGGGGAGGCATTTAAATATATATGACTGATAAAATGTCAGGAGTCACTATTTCATTTCTGTTTACATCCCCTGATAAACTTTGACCAATAGAATTTCTAACCTTTACATTATCTCAAGTCAGGAAGACAAGTAGAAGGAAAATGTGAAGTATGATTTTTCTTTCTCCAAAAAGATAGAATCATTAGAAAGATCAATACTCTTTTAGAGCACACATTCTCAAACTTTTTGGTCTCAATAACACTTTATATTCAAAAAAAATGTTGGAAACCCCAAAGAGTTTTTGTTTATGTGAGTTATATCAAGCAAGATTTACTGTATCAGTAGTTAAAGCAAAAATTAAATTAATAAATTAAAATGCCTATTAATTTTGAAAAAGCAGTAAGCTCATGACATTGCTTATTGAAATATTAAAAATACAACATTGAAAATATTAAATATATTTAATATTTTAAGATATATAACATTTATATATTTCAAAACGTGTTAAAATATACATTCTGAAATAAAAATAACTATTTTTAAAACAAAAAATTAGTAGAGTGCTATTCTTTCAGTTTTGCAAATTTCATTAATTTCTGGCTTAACAGAAAACAGCTAGACTTTCATATCTACTTCTGCATTGTCTGGTATAAAATCACGCACTATGTAGCCTCTGGAAGATTCCACTGTATAAATATATATATGTGTGTGTGTGTGTGTGTGTGTGTGTGTGTGTATTTTGTTTTGTGTTTTTTGTTTTTTTGAGACGCAGTCTGTCTGCGTCCCAGGCTGGAGTGCAATGGCGCGATCTCAGCTTACTGCAATCTCCGCCTCCCAGGTTCAAGCAATTCTTCTGCCTCAGCCTCCTCAGTGCCTGGGACTAGAGGCACGTGCCACCATGCCCAGCTAATTTTCTTTGTATTTTTAGTAGAGACAGGGTTTCACCATGTTGGCCAGGTTGGTCTCTAACTCCTGATCTCAGGTGATCCACCTGTCTCAACCTCCCAAAGTGCTGAGATTATAGGCAAGAGCCACAGCTTCCGGCTGAGATGCCTTCCTATTACGATAAAATGATTTTGACATCACAGAACCCCCTAACAGGATATCAGGATCCTCCAGGGATGCCTAAACTAGACTAGACTTTGAAAACAGCTATCTTGGGCATCTGGAGACACAAAAAGATCAGTTTAAAGAGCCGAATAATAGACATGCTTCCCTTTATTTTAAAACTGAATTTTAAAAGAAATACACACTTCTAATATCATTAAGTACTAATCTCATTACTTCAGGACCACTGTACATAGAGAAGAGGAAAAGAAAATAAAGAGAAAAACATGCTCCTAAAAATTGTGTAGTCATGGGAGAATGTGCAAAGACATTTTATAATATCATATTAATATTATCTATAGAGTCAATAAAGAAATACCTAATCATGGAGAAACATCTCTTACCAAGATATTGTTGATTTTAGCTACAGATTATTTAAATCATGGGGATTAACATAAATAGATACATGCACTAGAAAGAATAAAAACATGGTAACCGGATATTCTAGAATAAACCATATGTTCAACGTAATCATAATTAAAGCAAAGACAAGCAAAAAAATAGAAAAAAAAAACCA